ATGTACAGATGTTGCCCACATTTAGTATAATGGGATAATGCCAAATAATACTAATACACATAGGCTATCACTAAATAACTGACCCTTGTTGGGGGCAGAACAGAATGTTAAACCTGAATTAAAAATATACACAACCAAAACATTTTTGAATGTTTATGAATAAAATGATGTATCATCATCATCTACCGTATCTCATGACAATACCTTTATTAGACCAACCAAATTTCTGTGAATGCATATTAATTCTTCAGAACTTGTCAGCAGCCTAGATGATAAACAAAGGCAGGGGGAGTTGGATGATGGTAAAACTATAATATATAAACTTTATTTTATTTGTATGCCTCCTTTCTATGGTTAAGAACCATGCCCAAGGCAGCTTACAGTGGTAAAATATTTGATTAATTACAAACATAAAAAGTAGGCATAAACAATAAATAAAAACCATCAAAAAGTACAAAACCAAATTGAATGATTTCCACATCAATCATGATAAGATATAAAAATAAAAATACAAAAAAATAAAATCAATAGCAGCAGTGAAAAATCCTTAAACCTAACAGTCTGTCCAGCAGCCTCACCTTTTGTAGCTGGAGTCAGTCAGGGCCCCACCTTCCCAGGCCAGGTGGGGAAAGAACAACAACATTTTATTATTTGTACCCTTCCCATCTGACTGGGTTGCCCTAGCCACTCTGAGCAGCTTCCAGCATATATAAAAACATAGTAGAACATTAAACCAGTATTTCCCAACCTTTTTTGGGCAAAGGCACACTTGTTTCATGAAAAAAATCTCGAGGCACACCACCATTACAGCCCCGTGACGTCAGCGCGCAGCGTCACGCCGGGAGGGACATGAATTGCTAGCAAATTACATAATCACCTCCTTGAGGGCTGGCTCATCTTCTCCGAAGGCAGAACCCCATTAATTAACAGCACAGACTCACACCATAGCCAAGACGAGGGGGGAAAACCTCAGTCATGCACAGTCATGCACATGTGGGGGCTAAATGAGGACGAAGACCGGGCAGAGAGCAGGGTTCAAATCACCCCACCTGGCCAGGACAATCCCTGGGTGCTCCCTTGGGCCACTCGCCTGACCCACCTCGCAGGGCTGTTGTTGCGAGGATAACACGGGGAGAACCACGCGCGCCCCCGGGAGCTCCTTGGAGGAGAAAGCGGGCGATGAATGCAATGCACGAAATATATGAGAGGCGACCAGGTTTTGCAGGTGAGGGGCCCCCGCCAGCCTCCGCTTCCAACACCCGGTGCAACGACGCCGAAGTTTCCCCCCGGGCTCGGCTCGGGGAGCAGCGCTGCTCCCCCCCGGCTCCCCTTCGCCCTCCCGGCTCTCTCTGCCGCCCACTGGGGACCCCCCTCACCTGCCAAGTCCGGAGCGCCGGTGGAAGTTGCATGCATGCATGCAGGGCACCGCGTCGCCATTGCATTGCACTGCACTCCATGCAACGCCTGCACGCATGCATTGCCTTGCACGCCCGCCAAGGGGTCTCCCCGCGGTCCGATGCGTCCCCTCCGGCGCGGATGCAGCATTGCAAAAATAAAAAACCCCCGACGCAGCCCTACCTGGGGGGCAGCCTCCGCATCCGCCTCCGCGGGGATCCCCGGGCTCCATCCTGCCGCCCGATCTCCGGGGGGCGCAGGCAGGCTGCGCGGGGTCTGCGCGGAAGAGCCCCTGCCCGCCCGGCCGCCGCCGCCGCGCTCATTCCATGGCCGGGAGAAGAGCGCTTCAAACAAAACGCCTGGCCCGCCAGGCCACGCTGGGAAACGTAGTTTGCGCACCCCGCGCGGGCGCGGAGCCCAAGGGCGAGGGAACTACGGATCCCGGCAGCCCCCGCGCCGGGGACGGAGGGGGAGAGGCCGGGTGCAGGGATGGAGGGATGGAGGGACGGGTGGGCGAGCGAGTGAGTGAGTGGCAGCCGCCAAGCCTTGGCCGAGAGCCAGGAAGGGCCTCCCCGGAGGAGGAGGAGGAGGAGGAGGGAGGCGCAGAGCGGGAGGGAGGGAGGGAACCCCAGGGGTCATCTAGTGACGGCGCCCCAATCGAAAATTTGACTTTTTTTATAAAAAAAAATCTTTCAATTTTTTAATTTTTCCCGCGGCACACCAGGCAACATCTCGCGGCACACTAGTGTGCCGCGGAACAGTGGTTGGGAAACACTGCATTAAACCATAAAAAGCTTCCCTATACAGGGCTGCCTCCAGATGTTTCCTAAATGTCATATAATTAGGCTTGCAAGGCAGTGAGGTCTTCAGGACTGACATCTGAGATGGTCTCTTGAACCCATCTATCAGGGTGTGCAGAATCTAAGAGTCTTAAGATGAGGCTTGGGAGCAGATGATAGCAGACATTCAACTTAGGCTGTTTCAGGTGCTATGCAGGTTTCAGGTAATTTTATATGTCATTCTAGGACGGGGCTGAAATTGAAGTCAAGTTGCTTTGCCTCACAGTTGTAGGGAATTTTTCTCTCAGAGAATGAATTCCCATCTTCAGATAGTATAATATATTCTCCCTCCATGTTAGGATCTCACTATTGCACGGCTAAATTTTGTGTTTTCCATGTCAAACAAAATGTAGATGTAGCTATGTTGGCCCATAAGGCAGGTGGTTCCACTGTGTCTTTTGGGTGCTTATTTGAAACATTTTTATTTCAACAAGCCTATGTAGATATGCAAATATTGATGTGCTTGATTCCCCTTGCTGTTCATTTTAATTATATTTAAATATTTATAAATGTTTTTAACTTTTTCATTGATGTTTTTATTATTTCTTGTCAACCCCAGAGGCTTTATTGCAATCAAGCGGCATATAAGTTTTGTTAAATAAAAATAATAAATGTGAAAAAAGAAACCAAATGCCACATTGGAGCAACATCTCTGTTCGCCAACCAAAACATCACAAATTAGTGTGCAAGCTTTCAAATTCTCCAGAACGCTTCATCAGGTTAGCTAGTAAACAACGCAGAAGGGTGTGTATGTTTGTGTAAAGTTGGCTGATGGTAGCGCCATCTGTGCTTGCATCTGGTATGAAATTATTTGGAGCTGTGTCCTCTCTGCACTTAAAAAAACAAAACCCCAGAATTCTGCAAAAACCCAAAATTCTATACATTGTGCAGATTAGAACACATTTGTTATTTCCTATTTTATGCAGTGGTTTTTACTGTTTTCCTCAAATGAGTCAACTTCTCGGGTAGAGGCAAAGACCACACATTTTCAGGTATACCTTTGTGCAAGCAAATAACTTAAATAACTGGATTCTGCAACCAGCACCACATTCCGTGGCTTTTTCTGTGCTCCTGCAAAATCATGGCTGGCATGTAGCTCCTTCTGAACATTTTTGTTTAGAGTACTGCTGTAGTTGGCTATTTTTAAAGTGCACTGTGGTTTTCTTTTATACTCTCACTCCTATACAGAGTGCTGGTATATTCTATTTCATCCTTAGCTCCATATGGTGTTCTCTCTCTCTCTAAATATATATATATTTGCACATTGGAACGGCTCTAGATAATTGGTTCCATTCAAGAATGCTTGAAGCTTTTCCACCACTTCTTTCTCAAGCACCTTGCCCCCAAAGGAGATACTGGCACCTGGGGAATAGTGGTCCAACTTGAATGACTTGCTCCCTTGTATAAAAATAAGTAAGGTTCAGCAAAACTTTCACATGTTTCAGCTTGGGGGTCAAAAGAGTGCCTTGCCCCCCTTTTTTCCCTTCCTAGCATGCCAAGGAGAAGGCGAGGCTAGAATGTGCTAAGAGGGCCGGTGCTAAGGGATGACTAGAGGTTTCCTTTATTCAGGTTATGGCAATAACTTCATTGCCATGTGAATTAACTTTGCCCTTATACACTGGTACCTCGGGTTAAGTACTTAATTCGTTCTGGAGGTCCGTACTTAACCGAAACTGTTCTTAACCTGAAGCACCACTTTAGCTAATGGGGCCTCCCGCTGCCGCCATGCCGCCAGAGCACGATTTCTGGTCTCATCCTGAAGCAAAGTTCTTAACCCGAGGTAATATTTCTGGGTTAGTGGAGTCTGTAACCTGAAGCGTATGTAACCTGAAGCGTATGTAACCCGAGGTACCACTGTATATCATCTATATATTTAAAATATAGTAATCCTTATTATTTTGTGAAACTTTATCCCATATTGAGTCACTCTCAGCTACTGAATGGAGATCTTGACTTGGACAATGGGTTCATATTAATAGATTGATTTCCCAGTTCCACCTGCTTAAAACTGTCCTCCATTGAAGAAGCTTCAAAAACTCAGAGGGGCCCTTTTATCCTTACAACATCCTTGTGAGGTAGGCTAGGCCGACAGGGATTGGGCAAACTTCATAGAATACAGGTGGTACTCATTCACAGCATAAAAGTGTACTCTCACACAACCCCCAGTGAAAGAATACAGCGTTTCTCTGCTTTTAATCCAGTAAAAACTTGGGGAAGCATTGAATTAGTGGGGTTTTGTTTGTTTCCTCTTCTTGCTTCCTTGTTAGGGCTTCTCTTGGCTTTGTGGGGCTTGGCTCGCTTTCTTGAGCCGTCCACAGCTGTCAGATCCCTAGAGGGGAAGCAAATGGATTTTCTAACATCTACAATGATTTTACACCGGTTGTTCACTGCACCTGAAAATGGAGGTTATTTACCCAGTGCTGAGCTTTGCTTAAAACCAAAGTCGGTGCCCAAAGAAACACAGCCTGTGCATTGAGGCTGTGAAATCCCAGAAGAGCCAGTGTATCAAGGCACTGTGTTTGTCTTGAAATTATTTATGCCGATCGGCGGAGGATGAGCGCAAACAGTAAACTTGCTCTGCATGGGTAGCCCAACAGTTCGTCTCTGCTGCTGGTGCAACAATGAATAATTTATAAACACATTATTCCCCCCCCCCAAAAAAAAAACCGGTGGAGAGGGTCATTAGCATTTTAATGAGAACAATACATGCGTTGTACTAAATCCTTTGCCTTCTGTTTCTTCTTCTCTTTCCTTCTCTTCCTCCAGTAAAACAATTCTGCCGAGCGCTTTGGAAATAGCTGACGACACGGGATAATGTGCTGAGTGGCACTATGGGCAGGCGATACCCAGGGGCTCACTATCGTCAGAGCAATTCATGTATGTATGTGAATTTTCTCCCTACCTGTAGATTTGAAAGCAAAGCAAAACCTGGTAGCATCTCTTGGCTGACTTCCTGCTTTTCTGATTGCACTGCCCACCCGCTGTTGCTATAGCCTTAGTGAATTTTTGGGGGCCAAATTTTCCAAGTTTAAACGTGCAAAGTGGGTAGGTTTTATAATCTCTGCCAATGGGAGAGCAAAGCGCTTGCCGTGTACTAGTTGCGAGTGTCACCGTTTGAATTTCTCAGGTAACTTTGATAAGACTGCACGGTTGGAATCAGGTGCACTAAATTTTCATGCCATGTTTTCTCTTGCATGCTGTGGCGTACGTCAGTCTGTCCATACCCTTGCCTGAGCAGCTTTGGCTCCGTAGCTTGGGAGAGGAAGGCGCTTCTGTAGGCCCCGAGACCAGCAAAGTGTCCACTATACCCCTAACATCAATGAGATAATAATAATAATAATAATAATAATAATAATAATAATAATAATAATAATAAAATAATAATTTATTTATACCCCGCTCATCTGGTTAAGTTTCCCCAGCCACTCTGGGCGGCTCCCAATCAAGTGTTAAAAACAATACAGCATTAAATATTTAAAACTTCCCTAAACAGGGCTGCCTTCAGATGTCTTTTAAAAATAGGATAGCTGCTTATTTCCTTCACATCTGAAGGGAGGGAGTTCCACAGTGTGGGTGCCACTACCGAGAAGGCCCTCTGTCTGGTTCCCTGTAACCTCACTTCTCGCAATGAGGGAACCGCCAGAAGGCCCTCGGCGCTGGATCTCAGTGTCCGGGCTGAACGATGGGGGTGGAGACGCTCCTTCAGGTATATAGGGCCGAGGCCGTTCAGGGCTTTAAAGGTCAGCACAAACACTTTGAATTGTGCTCGGAAACATACTGGGAGCCAATGCAGATCTCTCAGGACCGGTGTTTTGTGGTCCCGGCGGCCACTCCCAGTCACCAGTCTAGCTGCCACATTCTGGATTAATTGCAGTTTCCGGGTCACCTTCAAAGGTAGCCCCACGTAGATGATCATTTCTCATTAAGCATGAAAAGATCAAAGGTAGCATGAGAATTCTAAGGTTGCACACCCTGCCTCTCCCATGAATAGGGGGCAGCCGGATTTGCCTTGCCGAGATTCTCTAAAATCCTGGAGCTGGCAGTTCACACACACCCACACACCCACACACCATGCAGCCATACACACATACACACAAAGGAGTCCTGCTAGGTTTGAGGAGGTGCTTGGCCCTCTGTGTTACCCTGGCTGCTCTTTTATCCCTCCGCTCCCCATGCTACCCTGCTGAATCATCATTATCAACATCACCTCCATATTCATCCAGACAGCCCTCTGGGCAAATGGAGATGGCTGATGCTTCATCCGTGTGTCCATCCAACCTTCCGCCTGTTAAAAAGCAACAAAACAGAAGGAATGTTGTGGTGGCTCACGTCCGCCCCGGTATGCCTATGCAAGCTGGCAGTGCTACAACATCTGCTTCTTGCTTAACTGCACCTCTCCTTGCTATCATGTGCTGTTGTCTTTGGCATTCTTTGCCCCACCCCAGTCTGTGGGACTCCAGGAAAGTCCGGCTCTAACAGAGGACACCTTTAGATCTTACAGAAGCAAAAGAGAGGCTCAAACATTTCCGGCCACTTCTTTTTGTACTTCCTATTAAATGTCTGGAGCAAAACTCATGTATCTCCCACATAAGGAGACCTGTAAGCTCCTGACATTGCTTCTTCCCCTACACGATGCTACACTGCTTTTCTGTGTTGTCCATGAGTTCTTGCCCTTGCTATATGGACAGATGAAATATCAGCACAGACTTAGTGAGTTGCAAAATCAGGCATGTTGAATGAACACATCTGAGATACACCCATGAGGGACGCGGGTGGCGCTGTCGGTTAAGCCACAGAGCCTAGGACTTGCCGATCAGAAGGCCGTGGTTCGAATCCCCGCGATGGGGTGAGCTCCCGTTGCTCGGTCCCTGCTTCTGCCAACCTAGCAGTTCAAAAGCACGTCAAAGTGCAAGTAGATAAATAGGTACCACTCTGGCGGGAAGGTAAACGGCACTGCTCTGGTTCGCCAGAAGCGGCTTCGTCATGCTGGCCATATGACCCGGAAGCTGTACGCCGGCTCCCTTGGCCAATAAAGCGAGATGAGCGCCGCAACCCCAGAGTCGGTCACGACTGGACCTAATGGTCAGGGGTCCCTTTTCCTTTACTTTAAGATACACCCACATAACCCCTGTTCTTCATAAGCTGTGCCCCAGCTGAGACATATTTTGTGTTTAGTTTCCCCTTTCCAGTGTAAACTCGTTGCTTTCTTATTTCTTGTGTCTGTCTTGCTGAAAGGCAGTTCAGGTAATACCACCGCAGCTGACCTGGGTCTCGCATCAAGGTCAGTTTTCCATAAAAGGTTCAAAGATCCCTTTAAAGTTTGCAGCCTGTCCCTTTCATCTCCTTGAAATGGCAGGTGACAAGTGGCTATCCCTGTGGCTACTTTACTGCCAGTGATAATCCTTGAGCCTTAAGGCTTGCTATATTCCAAGCTAGGTCAAATAATCTTCTCAAGAGGCAGTACATGAAAAGTTCATTGCGACTTTCCCCCTCCCCGAAAAGCCTCTCTTGTGTTAAGTCTTGGTATTTTTTTGTTTATCCCCTAGGCTACTATTATAATGCCATCTACCTTTTCTTCCCTTTACTGTATAGTGTTCTTAGGATCATGGAATCATAGATTCATAGAACTATAGAGTTGGGAGGGACTGTGAGAGTCATTTAGTTGAGCCCGTTGCAATGCAGGAATCTCAACTAAAGCATACAGGACAGGTGGCCATTCAATTTCTGCTTAAAAACCAAGGAAGGAGAATCCACTACCTTCCGAGGTAGTCAAGCAGCTCTTATTTCAGAATTCATCTCTTCTGTATGTTCATAATTTTCATTTTGTATTATGATGTAGATGAAATCTAAATCCTTGGATGCAGGCAATTTAATTATTACTGTGATATGAACAGGGGGGAAAGTAGAAGCAGATAGGGAAACTTAGCCAAGTTTTTCTTTTTGCTGTAGCAAGGCTTCTTCTCCATTACATTTACACTGTTACAGTGAGGCCAATGCTGCTTCAGGTCTAGAAGAAGACTAGAGTTTGGATTTGATATCCCGCTTTATCACTACCCGAAGGAGTCTCAAAGCAGCTGACATTCTCCTTTCCCTTCCTCCCCCACAACAAACACTCTGTGAGTTGAGTGAGGCTGAGAGACTTCAGACTAGCCCAGGGTCACCCAGCAGCTGCATGTGGAGGAGCGGAGACGCGAGCCCGGTTCACCAGATTACGAGTCCACTGCTCTTAACCACTACACCACACTGGCTCTCTCTGGTAGTACAGCAGCAGTAAAGGAAAGTTGCTCTATGTTTGAAACCGGCTACTCAGAGTCTGCTACCTGTTTGCCGCTGCTGGGCAATACTGGGTCAAGGACAGTCCCCTTCGGACTTTGCTTACCACCCCGTGGTCAGATGCCACCACAGTGGAAGTAGAAGCAGCCATGGAAGATGAAGCAAACACTGGAACCTGTGGATGGGGATGTAAGAAAACTGAATGGCAGTAGCCAGAGGGCGTTATGAGGAATGGAGGCATGCAGTGGTACTTTGTTCACGTCACAGTCGCAGGTTACCATGTAAAAAAGACGAAAAAAAGAATATCTGCTACTGGCACCTGATTGTAAGAACCTCTCGGTGTCTTTTAAATCTGCCATCTGTGCAGAAAACCTTTAAATGCTTAAAAAAAGAAATAAAATCTCAGCTTCATAGGCTTTCCAGTGGAAGGGAAAGAGCTGAAGTTTTTGAATTTTAGCTCATGTGTAGTAAGTAAGGTTGTTGGCATCAACCAGCAGTAATATATATTGGTTATACTTCACAAGCTGTAACCTTTCTTCTGTTCGGTGTGATAATGCCCTCTCATCATTTTATAGCTAGCTGCAGGATATGTCGCTTTCCAGGAGGGAATTGGTGAAAAATATTCTGATGTACTGAGAACTTGAAGCTTGAGAGAGTTTCAAATAGAAGACCTAATAAATTCTCTTCTTCTTAGATGTCTGCTATGAGCAGGCTTTGTGCTCTCTATAATTTAGTCCAACTTCAGCAAATTCTGCATGCCAGGAAATCCACTTTGCTTGTGTTAAGATTTTTCTCCCTTCAATTTGTTTGTGAAGAACTGAGCTTAAAGGGCCACCAAGAATGCTTTACGTTTTCATTTGCTTGGCAAATATGATTTATTTTAAGAATTAGCATTAGAGAGAGATGCTTTGCAACATAAAAGAGCAAGACTGAGAACGCTTCTGCTACAGAGAAGGCATCGAACAGCCGAAAATCATGACTTATTCTCACTAGCACAACGCAATATTTTGACACTGTTGTTACAGTAAATTTTGCTTAAAATATGGAATGCAATTGGGAGTTAACTCTGGGAAATTCCACCTTTCTGAAATGTACATGGAGAATTTTTTTTTTCCTTTTAAACATTGCTAGTGATATAGATTCTGCCCCCTGCTTCTGTATTTGCAATAATTATTTTTACTGAATAATTTGTCCAGCGCTGTGCTGCACTGGCTTTGCTTTGTGGCTTTCTTTGTTTTTAATTTCTTAAAATGATCCCTCTTTTCAGATTTCAAATAATAATCTATTTCCTGATCCATTGCTGAAGCCCAGTGATCCATGTCAGAAGTCCCTCCAGGTCAGATGCCCTTTCAGATATTTTAATACTGTACGCATAGAATTTCTTTCTCTCCTTCTGGGCTCGCGGTCTTGCATTTACCATTTAAAAAATATATTCATTCTTTCTCTTTCCGTTTCCCTCACTCTTTCTTCTGGTGTTTTCTTTTCTTTAAAACAACGCAGCCAGTTTTTCAAAGCCAGTACTTGCCAATTTCTTATCCATTGTTTAAAAGAATTGGGAGCAGGTTGCGGGATCAGGCAGAGACTTCCCCTTCTCAGCGCTCGGC